CCAGATTCCATGATTCTTAAGCATAAAGGAATTATCTCTGTTGTGAGGAGGAAATTAATGACTTCAGCTTCATCAGTCTGAAAAATAACCACAATGTTTACTAGACAAGTTAGACTGATGACAACTTTCCCTCAGAAAAAGATCTAACTTTAATATGCTAATCAGATAACATACCTTTACTAAAGCTCCCACAACTCCAAGGCTAGTTAATCTCAGATACTCAAATGGCCTTGTTTTACTTGTGGTGTGAAGAAATGGATAAAGGAACAAAGGGATGTGTGCTGCAAAGGAAAAACAAATAGAGAAATGTTGGTCACATCCTAAAGGTAATAACTTGTACAATAATATTTTTTCTCATTAACATTAGCATTGTGACTACTTCACCCATCAGAAGCCAAGGGGATAACAATAAAAGGCAGTCTATGACTGCACATGTCTACTGTTGTTTAGTTGTTGAGTATTGTAGTAAAAAAGCAATGTGGTGTAAAATGAAGAGTGGTTAAATAACAGCTCTTGTTGATGCCAAACTTGTGACAAAAGGAGGACTTGGTCAGAACAGAGTTTGTGCAGTGGTCACTGATAGGGCAGGAAATTAGTAGAATATGTACATGCACTAAATGTGCATCAGATTTATTTCAATACAAAACTTCACCAATTTGTATGCTCTGCATACCTAGCCCTATGGATATGCCTTCTCTTAAGTCCAAAGGTACAAGGTTTGAGCCACTGCCGTGTCAACTATTTTTTTTTTTTTTTTCATTTTTTCCATTTCAATTGAATTTCTTCAAGAGACGTGTTAGATAGGTTCAGATAGGTTCAGTAAATGTTTGATCTTTGACAATGTAGCTCTTATGTTCAAATCAATGACAATGTTGAAATGCAGAGGTTAGGCCCTGAAAAAAAATTTAACTACCAATAAACCCCCAAAAAAACAAAAAGGTATCAGAAGAAAACTAATCCAATTTGTTCCGTGATGACCAGTGTTGGAACTGAACCAGGATGAATCACAAGAGATGTTGCGAGTGTCTTGCCATAGTCTGCCATTCTGAAAACCAAGTGGGGCTTTAGGGAAGGTTATGGACTTACACGACAGTGTAACATGGTGCCCACAGCCTTCATGAAAGGAAGGTACAGTAGGCACAACAAAAAGGGTAACCATTTTAACGTGTAGTTTATTTATCACAGCTGACTCCTCGTCACCCATTACATATGGATACTGGGAAATTCTTCTTGTATATGTGTATGGGTTCATTTGTGTGTGTTTTTCTTTTCAAAAGAGTTGTGTTACAGAGCATCTCCAGTCTCTCTGATGCTGAGTGACTGAGTAATCAGGAATATCTTTGAAAGCCCAAAAAAAAATCCTACCTTGTAAAAATGCTGACCTTGTTTCAGGGTGAGATGCAACACATTGTAGAAGAGCTAGAGCATTACAAACACGGTTTGACTGGTGGGCCTAAAAAAATAACCGATCACATGAGACAGGAACTTTTGCATCACTTAGATAAGACTTTTGAAGTAGAAAACAAGAAACTTAGTTTGTCTTCTATAGTTTCTTATCACTTACTGTGAGATTTGGAGGGTTTATAACTGGATAAATATTAACTATTTCCTGTAACAATGCTGCAATGGTTCCTACAAAAAAAAAAACAGAGCATGACAAAATGTTTGAACCATTAATGTGCACACAGCATTATATTACACAATGTACATTTAACTTTTTGAGAAATTTTACCATAAAAAGAATTACAAGATGGTTGCTTGTCTGCCTTACCAAATGAATGCCACAGCATAGGTGCTAAGTCAGGAACAACTTCTCTTTTTTTGCTGAATAAGAGAAAATGATTTAAAAATAAATTTAGTCGAAATAATGCATTTTGCATGACTGTAAATCATACATCACATTGGTGAAAGTGCACAGACAAACTACAAGAATATTGCACATAAACAAATCATTATTGAAGGATCAGGAAGACATCCATGAAGAGGCAAAATACTTGGTCAAGTGATGTTAAATTATAGCACTTACTCAACAAGATAATTCTGATAATTATTTTATGTTTCTGTGAGTGCCATTATTGACTTAATATTGGATTCTGTGATCAGTTCAAAGCTTTAACATCCCTTCCCCCCATGGAACCCACAGGTATTTGACTGTCATCTATACTTGGGGGTGGGGAATTTTAACCTTGTCTGGTTGGGGTGGAAAATTTGCAATGGAACTGTGAAGTCTTTCCAGCAGAATAATTGTGTTTATTTTTTAATATAGAAGTGTTGTGGGTTAAAAGTTCATTTTTGCCAGCAGATAGCTCAATGGTAAAAGTCTACAAGAATGTATCTTGCCTTGAACAAAATCATGATCATCTCTGGCACTTTTGTCAAACATTTGAACACAATTTTGGCTGGGGGGGTGGGCAAAGAATCAGTACAGACCAAACCTCAAAAGTTCAAATGCTGGGGGGGGAGGGGGCATTTATTCATGTGACATGTATTCATCCTACACTGTGCATAAAGTCCATTAATAGGGATAACTGGCAACATAAATGATCTCTTTTCTTTCTGCAAAGTTCATTAGGCACAAAAATGGGTGTATGTCCATCATACTTGCTAAAAAGTTCTACACATTCACGCAATACTTTAGAGTTGTGAATGACCCATAGGTATCTTTGTGAATACGCATGCAGTTTAAATAACAACATATACCTCAGCTCCAGTAGTGCATGCTCTCTTGTGTCAGGACTAGACAGCTCAAGAACCCATGTATAAATTTTCTCTCTTTCCATTTCAGACAAATTTGATGCCTGTGTAGGATGGCTGTGAGGAAATCCTCGCTGAGAATTATGCAAAAGCAAGGTTGATCAAAATTATAAGCATGCAAAGTAACAACAAGACTGTTATTCTACTGACATGTAAATACAAATGTAAATAAGTTCCTCAACTCATAAAAACACACCCCTAATATTTCTCCATTTTGGCAGAAAACTCCAAAGTCTATGATGGAATACCTATGAAGAACTTCACTTCTTGTTTCCTTTGGTATTGCCACCCTCTCCCTATGTGCTATATCTTGGTTCGCTTTCACAACCACAGGTATGCTTGAAATAATGCTCTCAGAAATAACACGTTTAAATGAGATGCTTGTTTTTAGGGTCAAATATGTGGGCTAGATGAATACCAGACTTATCCTTGTTTTTCCCTTACTAAATAACTACATTCTGAGCATTAGCCCTTTGTCAGAGTGAATGACAAAGGGCTAACACTCCAAATAGGGACCTTAAGCATTGACAACGAAATGGCACAACGATGACGAGCAGAAGAAAAATTTTCCTGTGTGAGCATTCTGCGCATGTGCAATGTTGTCAAAACATAGTCCAACCTTCGTCGATGACTGAATCTGAGCAGCTTTTATGTTCTCACTGGTGAAAACGTAAGTAAGTAACCAACTAAACTTTTACCTCCTGATACCATCCATTTCCACCTTTTGATGTAATGATTGTTTGATGTATTATTTGCCGACCAGCAGAAGTCAAAATAATGTCAACAGTTTAGCGATTTTTAACAAACTAAAATGACTTTTCTTTCAGAGGCATCTAAAACCATGGCCAGCCACATTTCTACAGCTGCCCAAGAACCAGCTCAAAAGAAATGTAAGATTTTCTGTATCTCTTTAACGAGAATTTTGAGATATTTGAGATCATGTTCTTCTTATTTTAGACCTGCATATCACTGTACTTATTCTAAGTTTCTCTTCAAGGTATAAATCTTCAGTTTTGGAACTGAAAAACTATATATTTTCGTTTTCTTTTGACAGCAAGTAAATCCAGGTATTTTGTTCAGAAGGAAGACCATGATGTCTTGATGCTTCGCGAAGCTGTAACGAGCGAACCTCACAATTTTAAACCGAAAGCAGTGAGAGAGGAAAAGTATGGGAAAGCATCGCCACCTATTGGAATTCCCTGAAGAGTCCAGAGTTCAGGGTTACAGCAAGGGCAGGGAGAGATCGATAGAAAGCATCTAGGATGGATGTCTCCGAGCCCAATGAGCTTGATACCTTGCTGGAGCAGATTCGGGAGCAAGAGAAAGAGCTCAGGAGATAAGAGTGACGCCCAGAGAAATGAGAAGAAGGTAAAAGATGAGAAAGAAATAAAATCTCGTTTTCCAAAGCAAAAGTCTCAGAATCATCAAGCTCTTCCAGGTCAAAAGGTTTGTACGAATTGTATGGAAAGTCGAGGTTATTCGATGCATAGAGGCCATATACAGAACAACAAATTCATCCTCATCAATAAAGCCATCGTTGTGATTAATTAGAAGCAGGTTTCGGATGTTTTTGAAAGTCATAACAAGAGCAACTAGTCAGGGAATCAAAATTAGTTGTCGCCTCAAAACAATACAGTGCTTAACTTTCGCTTTTCCGGCCGAGAACGAAACCCTCGATCCAATCCTTCTGGGGTTGCGAATATTGTTGTCGTGCATTTCATTGTCAATGCTTAAGGTCCCTAATATCAGCTTTGAAACTCTTTATGGTGGCCAATTTACATTATCAATTCAGTTGATAAAACCAAAATAAACTTTGAGTTGCTTTACTTACTCCTTTAACGCATACATACATACAAACAAATATATATGTTTGTAGAGGAAAGAAACAAATAAACTACGCTGTCATCTTGACAAGCCTGTTTTGTGATTGCCCAATCATCAGGGGATTTAATAAGAATATTCTTTACCATCACTTCTTATATACAAAATAATTTACATAATAACAATAATAGACATATATCTAATCTATGCGGCACAAAGTTTAACAGTTCAGCTGTCGTGTAGCAGGGCTTTGTTTCTTTGCTTGGTAAATTGGCAGCCAATGGGTGATATGGACCTGCCTGTGTAATTTACTAAGTTATAAAATAAGGCAAGAGTACCATATAACCCCATACATTAATTATACATTCAGACTAGTAGACTTTGTTTTTAAAGTTTTATCATGAAAGACAAAGAAGTGGAATGCATAATTAATGTATGGGGTTATATGGTACTCTTTCCTAAAATAAATATAAAGCTTGTCAATGAATAATTACATAAAAGGCTGAGTATGTCTATTACGTATGGATGTAATAAATAAGTATAATTACAATATTAAACATACTAAGTTATAAAATACATATGAAGCTTGTCAATGAATAATGACATAAAACCGGCAAACCAGCAGTCTAAATCCCACAGGGATCAACGAACGCTTTTCATTCCACTAATTTATTCTTCTTTTTCTCGTTGCCATGTTCCCACCAATAACGTAGCTCCATTTTCTGCCTTTAAAAGCACACACAACCCACAATTCCTCTATTCACTCCAACGAAGGGCTAACGCTCGAAACATCAGCTTTTGTATTCGTTATGGTGGCCAATTTCCATTTCAACGTTGTTGATATATCCAAATTATTTCGTTACTCCCACTGACGCAGCCCCAAACAGTTTCTTTCAAAACTATTAGCCTTTAATGACATAAAATGCTGAGTATGTCTATCATGTATGGATATAATAAATAAGTAGGGAATAAGAAAAAATCAATAATAATTTAAGTCCTCGTTCTTGTTTCTGCTCAAACGTCTGGAGTAAGATAATTTACATATTGCAGAGTGTAGCCTATGAATGCAAAAGGGATGTTACGATTCCCCTGTGCTGATTATCCTTGGGGTAGAGAGTGGGACGAAGAAATAGATCAAATGATGTTCTGGTATTCTGCGAATTGCTGAGTATACTGTCTGGATTATGTTCCCACAAAAGCGATTCTTAAATTTCCAAAAAATGAGCTTTATAAATCAGGAGAATCTTCAAACGACTCTATGTTCTTCAAATTTTTCAAACAGATTATACACGTTTAGATAAGGGATCGTGTTTAATTATATCCACTTCAAAAGAAAAAGTGATGTTTGTCAGCTTAAGTGACTCCCTTTCTCTAATCATATTAACTTTTTTTTCTCATAAACCCAACTCAAAAAAGCTCACGTAGTGATAGAACTTAAACTAACTTAAGGAACAGAAAGCACCAGAAAGAGAGATTGATTGGTGAAACAAAGAAGGTGAAAGCAAACGTTTAAAATAAGACGAAAACGATATACGGGAACTTGAACAACAATCAAAGACATCTTTTTACACATTTAAAGTAGATTAGGGATGATTTTCGACGCAATGGTAGTTTGAATGAAATAGTACCTGTTGTCCAAGCTGATGCATCATATTTCTTTGCTAGTTTTTGGTCCTATAAGAGTGTGTTGTTTAGGTCTGATAGACACAACCTATTTCTGACCCTATGACTGAAGACATAGTTCGATTCAAAGCACACTTGAGCCCGCCGCTGGTTTGGGTAAGCGGCAAACTTTCGGACTGAAGAGACTGGGTACCAGTTAGCCACGAAGACAAGACACGATTGATGTTACGAATATGGGGTGAAAATTCTCCTTTATTTTGGTTCAGAGTTGTAATGTTACTAGTTTAAAATGCAGGGACTATGGAGCTTAATAGGAAAGATCGGAACTGGTGCTGCTCAAAATTTTCCTTATGAGATTGGTGAAAAAGTAGGGAGTCTAGAGGACAAGTCTGTGTGGACACTACATGAAGGGAAAAAGAAAGTAGGTTATCTGTCAGTCACCGTTTCTTTGGTTGTACGGATGGTAGTTTAAACAGTAATTTTAACTTTGTCTCAAGGGTACTGGAGAGCCTGTGTCTGTGTTTGTTCACGATGTCAAGTCATCTTCAGAGGACAAGGTATCGTAAATCTTACGTATACGTACTTACCGTAGTTCATTTTCTCTTCAGTTGGTTTCCTCTATAATTTTTCGCCCTTCTCCCTATGCCCAGTTTCAAAATCTTAAACAAGTTTTCATTTTGAACTGATTCTTTGGGCTGTACTTGTAATTAACCAGTCTGTTTAGTACAGTAATTACTATTGCGATGTCAGCCTTCGCTTTCTGTGCCATACAGTATTGATCCCTGGTATAGTCCATTTGGCTGGGTGAGTTAAAGTGGGACACTGTGTAACTGATGTTGTAAAAAGAATGATGATATCGCATCAATATACACGAAGAGAGAGAAATAAATGCGAAATAAACTCACATACAGGTATTTTGTGGTCAATTGTGCCTATTGTCTCAATAATTATAAGCAAAAATAAACTGCATTGGTGCCACACGCACTGTAGTCTCCTTCACAGCCATTGTTTCTCCCCTAATAGAGAGAGAGAGTGTATTGCTAGATGAGACCAAAATTAATTGTTTACTGTGTGTAGATGCCTGAAACAAACAACCTGATATATGTCAGTGAATAAAGGCTGATAGTTTCTAAAGAAACTGTTTGGGGCTGTCGGTGGGGGTAACGAAATAATTTGAATATATCAACAAAGTTGAAATGGTAAATTGGCCACCGAAGCTGACGTTTTGAGCATTAGCCCTTCGTCGGAGTGAATAGAGGAATTGTGGGTTGTGTGTGCTTTTAAAGGCAGAAAAAGGAGTTA